TCATCAGAATACTATTTGGTCGATACATAGAGCAGGATACGTACATATATATATATATATATATATATATATATCTCGTATATAAAGAGGGTGACATTCAGATATCAGAGTATCCATTGTTCTTGAGATGGTAGATATATCTATGCTTATTACAGTTAAAGTCAGATGTTCACACCGAATGCCTAATTCAGTCAAGCAAGACAGATCTATTTACTCCCGAAGTAGAAGCCACATCGATCAGGCTAAGCCATCCTATAACTTGGAACTTCTACCTTCATTCAGGAAGGAGGAAAATGACAAATGGAGGTCCCATTTCGTAATGTCCTCACTCACGCTGGGGTTTTCGATAGGCTAAGGCCTTGCAAGACACGACCCTCTCCTTACACATTCAGGCGAGAGGGCATTACATTTTCAGTAGAGAACCTAATGCATAGTGCCCATAACAATTTGGGGGGGTGCGACCTATTCGTTCATTCACAGTTACTCCTCGACTCCACTCTTATCATAAGAGTCGAGGTACAGTATACCCAACTACCAATGGGGCACCCATTGCGTGGTGATCATATCACATATACCAGTTTTTAGTATAACAGAATAATAAATCCAACTACCAATAGAGGACCCATTGCATAGTGGTTAGGGCACACATAACATTTTCATATATAATGGAATCACAATATCCACTACTAATGGAGGATCCATTGCGTAGCGGTTATGACACATATAACAGAATCACAGTATCTACTACCAATGGAGGACCCATTGCGTAGTGGTTGTATCATATATAACAGAATCGCATATGACATAATCATAGTATCCACTACCAATGGAGGACCTATTGCGTAATGGTCATGGCACATATAACAAAATCACATATAACAGAATCACAATATCCACTACCAATGGAGGACCCATTGCGTAGCGATTATGGCACATATAACAGTTTTAATATAACATAATCACATTATTAATCAGTGACACCGTCTCACAGTATCATATTTTCAGTATCATAGTATCATATTTTCAGTATTATAGTATTTCCTGCAATTCTAGACAGTAACGTCCAGTCATAAACATGGTCATAATATTTGATCCATTCGAAATTTAGAAATGGTTTGAACACCAATTTTACACAAGACATGCATATCTTCCAAATGGGGATGGTTTGAAAGAGTTTGAACCCCAGTTGGCCCTTCAAAAGTCCATTAAAAGGGAGGTGTCTCATCTGAAACCTGCTGTGCAGTTGGGATAGTGACATGTCCCACTTAGCACAGTTATAATTTTCAATACATAGGGCATTTTGAAGTATTTCCAAAACCAAAATTAGAGTAAAAACATTTATATTTCAATCAAGGTAGTTTGAGAACATTTGGACTCCATTTGGACATTCAAATGTTCGTGACAACCAAAGTAATGGTTTTGGATTTTATGATATTTGTCCACCGTGATATATATCTTTGCAAACGATTCAATAACTCTCAATCTAGGAGGCATTTCGAAATGTGTTCAACATGTGATTTCAAGCATACTCATAGATATTTCAAATGGCAGTGATTTAGAAGAAAACAGACTCCATGTGGTCAGTCAAAATTCGTGACAACAGAGACATTAGTTCTGAAATTTTACTAAATCTGCCAACAGTGACCTACTTGTACTTATTGAAGCATAACTCTTCATGCATAAAGAATTTGAGCAAGATTCAAGCATGAACATTTTAGTAGACACATATATATTTCCAATGACAGTGATTTGAGGTTATTTGGACCTCATTTCATAGATAAAACATAGATTACAAAAACATAGAACCTTCTTGGAAATTACAGTGCAGTTGTAGCATTATTCAAAACGACAACCAATTAATCCCAAATTATGCTACACCATAACATAAAACCTTTCTTATTGGCCATTAGATACATATAAACACTTCATCACAGGTTTTTCATGAACGAAAAGAATATTTGATAATCATTTTGAGCATGCAAAGGCAAGCTGAAGTGCTGAAAATCATGGTATAACAGTGTACACATACATCAACTATTCATGAATTTACTCATGCTCATTCTTATACTTAATTCATGCTAAATCCATGCTTAAGGACCTACAAGATAGTTGACCCACTTACCTTGTGTGTGGAATGGAGTTCCCAAATTCCCTCCCACAACTCACTTCTCAAGCTCT